ATGGATGTATTTGGTACAATGGAAGATGTTGATGAACTTATAAAACAAGTTCACAACAGAAATATGCGCATTATTTTTGATTTAGTTTTAAATCATACAAGCGAGTTTGTATTATAATATTTATTTTAGAGAAATAGATAAAATAAAAAAAAGTCAATATATTCTTCTAGTGAACATCCATGGTTTATTGAATCTCGATCATCACGTACAAATTCAAAACGTGATTGGTATATATGGAGAGATGGTAAACCTGGTGGTCTTCGTCCAAATAATTGGGAAAGTATTTTTAATGGTTCAGCTTGGGAATATGATAAAGAAACAGGTCAATATTATTTACATTTATTTTCTCGTAAAATGCCTGATGTTAATTGGGAATATCAAGAATTACGTCAAGAATTATATAAAATGACACGTTGGTGGCTTGATCGATGTAGTTCGCATCACTTTCAATATTTTTTTTTGTAAAACTAAACATTAAAATTAGGTGTTGATGGTTTTCGTATTGATGCAATATCACATATAAAAAAGAAACCAGGTTTACCTGATTGACCAAATCCAAAACAACTTGAATTTGTTTCATCATTTGAGTATCATATGAATGTTGAAGGTATTGAGAAATTTTTAACTGAATTTAAACGTGAAACATATGGTAATCGTGATGTTGTTACTGTTGGTGAAGCAAATGGTGTTAGTGCTGATCAAGCTGTTCATTGGGTTGATGAAGAAAAAGGAAAATTTCATATGATATTTCAATTTGAAGCAACAAATTTATGGGAAAAAGCATTAGGTTCACTTAATGGTAAAATAAAAAGTGAAAAATACTTTTTTGATTAAAAAACATTTTCAATAATATTTTTAGTTTCCGCATATAAACGTGTAATGACAAAGTGGGAGAAAAGTTTAGAAAAAAAATGGTTAGAATGCATTATTTCTTGAAAATCATGATAAGCCACGTATAATATCAACATGGGGTAATGATAAAGAATATTGGAGAGATTATGCTACTGCATTTGCAACTGTTTATATGTTAATGATGGGAACACCATTTATCTATCAAGGTTTATTCATATAAAAAAAAAATTTCTTCAATTTTTATATTTTATTTATTTTCTATAGGTCAAGAAATTGGTATGATAAATGTACGTTTTCCATCTATTACTGATTATCCTGATGTAGCTGCAAGAAATTTTTATAATCTTGAATTGGCTAAGGGTATTAAACATAATGAATTTATGGAAATAATTTATATGATTGGTCGTGATAATGCTCGTACACCAATGCAATGGGATGATTCATTAAATGCTGGTTTTAGTACAGCAGAACAAACATGGATTGGTATTAATCCAAATTATGTACATATTAATGTTGCACAACAAGAAAAAGATGAACATTCAATATTAAATTTCTATAAATGTCTTATATGCTTAAGAAAAGATAATGATGTTTTTATATATGGAATATATGATTTAATATTATCAAATCATAAACAAATCTATGGTTATACACGTACATCAGATACTAAACGAGCTTATATTTTAACAAATTTAACAGATCGTATAGCAGAATTTACTTTATATCAAGGTTTATCATCATCACAACTTGTTCTAACAAATTTACTTGAACCGATACCTGAACACAAGGTAAAAGAAAATAACATTTTTTATTTTTATATTTAATAATCAGTTTACTCATCAATAATTTCAATGATGACTATAAGACATCAACCAAGAGAGAAACAGGGGACTTCAAAAGACTTTCTTGTTTCTTAGAATTCTTTCTCGCAGTACATCTATAACTGCAATCTTTTAAGATGATGTATATAATGTTGAAAAGATGATTCTACATATCAGAAACATTTTAAACATTTGAGAGTGTACATTTTTTTTTCACAACATTTTCTATTATCTTTTTTACTGATTCAAACGATTATATATTCTCTTATTTAATAAAACCAATGAATATATAACACCAATAGCTTAAAATTTTGTATAAAAAAGCCTGTCATGGATAGATACAAATCTAAGTTCATACTAAGGAAACGACTTGTTGGTTGTTGACGGACGAAGCTAGCCGTTTATTAGCTGATAGATTATCGCGAGTGGTACAAACAAATAAAAGAGATAAAAATTTTGCATAATATTGATATTAACTTGACGAAACATTCCACTATAGATTAAACAACTTTTTTAAAAACTATTTAAATACTTAGTATTTCGTTTTTTGAGTTCAAATAAGCTCGGAATATTTTTCTGCAGTTCCACTAAACAATCAAAGTTCACATTTCTGTTAAAAGAAGACGATCGAAAAAAAGACAGCTTCCTTGATTTCTTTGTGAATTTTTTGCGAACTAAACATATTCCAAAAGTTTCAGATTTTATGAAATTTTGCGAGACTTCATGAGACTAACAGTACGTAATAGAACTTAATAATGTATACACTATTAGATAAAGAAAATCCTTCTCTATAAGCTTGCATATATCTCTTTCTGTAGTTCAATATCATCCAAAAAACGTACAGTTGTCTTTACTCTTTTGTTTTAGGATGAAAAATCATTTAAATTTCATCCTTATGAAATTCGTGTATATATAATCGATTATCATGAAGAAGAATTGCATCATCTTGAAGAAAAGAAACATGCTACTGATCAATCTGAAAATATACAATCAACATTGTCAACTGAATCAAAAGAAAAAGATGAATTAATAAAGAGACAACAAATTGTTTTAGAAAAATTTGAAGATATGTCTCATAATTCATTACATCAAACAGAACAAAGTCAAAAGGATATTATATCAACATTAACAGAAACAACAGCAAAAACTTTATCTGAAACACAAACATCAAAACATAAATTAACTTCAGAAATAATAGATCAAGAAAAAATCATATCATCAGATAGTTCAAAAATTGATCTCGAAAATGAATCAATATATAAGAAACGAGAACGACAACGATCACTTATACTTAATCTTGGTAAGAAATATCATTGAACTTTGAATCCGAATTTGTTTGACTTACGAAGGCCAGAAAAATTGATTTTAAAGTTCTGAATTTAAAAATGGTGAAAGTTCCATGCTGTTTTATTTGCTTCTATCCTGAAAAGAGAACGTCGACTTTGTGAGCGTATATGAGCAATGTAAAAAAGTACAATTTTACTATCACTATATCTTAGAAAAGAAATAGCTAAGAGATATTTTTGCCAAGATCTATTTTTACGTAAATTTTCAAGTCGAGAATCAATGTTTCTGAAGGTATCGAATATTTAAAGGTCATTACGACCTACATAATACTCTTATAAAACATAAATTCACTAGCTAAAAGACCAGAGAAAAAAAACGCTGAAAATGATATCATGTTTCACTGCTGAGAAATTCATATCGATACTTTCCTTAAAAACTTTTGTATCTCGTATTATTTATCAAAAAAAAAACAAAGAACATCATTTCATAAAAGTTTCAATTTTTTTGTTAGATTCTATAGAAAAAAATTCTTTGTTGAAAATTTCTAATTGAATACTATTTTATTATTTATGTTTGTATTATTATTTCAAGAAAATATACTATCTGTTGTACAAAATAATCCAAGTTCATTTGATCAACATCGTCGATCATTTTCTACTCTAATATCTCAAACATCAAGAAAACCAAGTTTTATAAGTCATCATCCAT